TGTTGACGTTAAAATTTTGTTTTGCTTTGGACATTTTGTTCATCCTATTTTATAGCGAACTTTTTGAGCCACTTAAATTCAAAAAGCTTTTAAATGCTGTCAAATGTTTTTAAATTTATTTTAAGAAAAAACTAGATTTATGATTTTTTCAAAAAGAAAAGGTCATAGATGTATGTCAAGAATCAAAACGGCAATTTATTAAGAGTTCAGAAAAATATTAACAAAATCAAAATAAAATCATACTTTTTTTTTTTTTTTTTTTTTTTTTAATTGAATATTTTAATTTAGAAATCTAATTTTGTGGGGAAAATAAAAAATAAAATAAAACTATCATAGAAATTAATATTTTCTTCCATAAATTCATAATTGAAAAATAAAAGGGTTTTTTTCTTTACTTTTTTGTGACTTTTGAAAATTTTCCTCCAATTCATTTAAAAATAGAGACTTTTAAATTCTGTTTGGTTTTAATATTAAGTTTTTCATAGAAAAAAATTTGTCACATATAGCAAATGAAGGAAAAAGGCATCCTTATACTTTTTTAGAGGCATACTTACATAATCACTGAGCAATTGGATGGGCCTGAATTCATAGTGGAAATCTATAAATCTGTTTGTAAGGAAAAATATATATGATGGATGATTACTTTGCAGAAGATAAAGTGGAATCAAAAAATTCAAAAGGCTCCAAATATTGATATTTATTGTGCAAAATACACAATTATGGCACCAAAAAAGCTAATCCGATTAACAACCCATTCACCATTACAATTTGCCCATTCACCACAAAAAAACTGTCACCAATCAATCCTCCGTTGCACCATAATAGCACATCCTCTCAATGGGGTCTTACAAAAATGCGCCACATACTATAAAATATAATAATTATATATGTGTAAAAAAAATTTGTGGATGAATAGAATGAGAGGGGAGGGGAATGAACCCTAAAACAAAATAACTGATGTTAGTAGGGCCCATTTTTTTCTGTAAATATATCTAGGAGTAAAATAAATCACATTTTTCATTAAGTATTGGTCATTCTCTTTTCCTCTCATTACAGTGACACTCTGGGCATTTTTAGAAGGACTCTTCTGATTTGAAAGGTTTTTAGTCTGAACATCATGGTAACCATTTGATCCATCACAGTCAATTGATTCTGAAGTTAAATTAAACCTTAAGATGAACTCTTTTATTGGAAAATATATTATTACTTGTATATCTGGTTTATTTTGATTCTGGTTCAAGGCCACAAGGCTAGTGTGCTTAAAAATACATTAGTGATTAATGACATTATTCTCATCCTGTTTAGCATTTTTTTTGAATTTGTGTTAAAAAATCTTTTTGAAAGCTAAATGCAAGCTTTCTCACTTCAATGTTATTTTTTTAATAAGATATAATGGTGTTATCTTTGCTTTTTCTTTATATTCCTAGTGGCTGTCATGAAAAATGATATTGGATTTGTAAAATATTTTTAAAATCTGATAAAAGTATGGTTCCTTGATAATCAGAAAATTGCTTTCTAAGAAAAAGCCCCTTTTTACTGTTGCTATCAATTTTATTCAATTGAAAGATTGATTTTCATTTTAGGACAATGTTAGATCAAAATATCCTGGCTAGCCTACTGCCCTATCTACACTATCAAAATGACACTCTTGATATTCTCTGTGAACTGGGATGGGTGCTCACCTACCTCACTGCCAGGTAAGAAAGTCTTGGATTTTACTCCTCAAATAATTTTTTTTTTTTTTTTTTTTTTGTCTTTGAATATGAAAGAATAATTGTTGTACTGTGATTTAAGTTTTTGATTGAACAGTACTTTAAGTCTTTGTGATAACTACTTAAATGTTTTGTTTTTTGTTATCTGCTATTTATCTGCACTTTAACAATTACATTTATAAATTGTAATCATTTGCTTTATTCCTATCTAATGAAAGTGTTCAGCAATTTTTTTTTTTTTTTTTTTTTCAGATTTGAAGTATTTTTTGTTTACATAACAAGTGCTAATATAGTCAAAATTTGTTAAATATATCAAGACATTTCTTCATTTTAATGTAGGTACCTTGAGGAGATGGCTAAAAACAGAGCATAGCATCAAAAAGACGCTAAACTTGACAAAAACAAAATTTTATTGTCTAAATGTTTATTATTAAGAGAAAAGATCAAAGTATTTTGGGGTATTTTTTTACATTTTTTTTAATCATTCCTAGCATGTCCGAAATTTTTAAAAATCTTTTTTTTTTTTTTTTTTTTTTTTTTTTTTTTTTTTTGAGTCAGCAAAATTGACAGATTTCAACCATTTTTTTACATTTTATAAAAAAGAAAAGAAAATCTCACTTTGAAACTCTTTTAAATATAAATTATCATTTTTACAAAACTTATTTTAAGAAAATCAGAAAATAATGTTTATTTAAAATATTTTGAACCAAGCTTAACTTATCTTTTGCACTGGAAAGATGTAATTTGAAAATAAAACAAAGTAGGTCATAAACTTTGATGAATGACATCATGACAGGTGATGAAATGCTTTTTTAAGTGATCAAATTATTTAGCACCCCATTTTTTTTTTTTTTTTTTTTTTTTGTACTTAGCTTTCACCTTTACGTTTATGATGCTTTATGGAAAATATATTATAAAGAAATTACAATAAGACTGTTAAGAGTGACATTAAATTTCATAAGAAAGGTATCTAATTAATTTATAAGTACCTTTCTTATGAAATTTTATCAAGAAATGTACATAAAATACTATAATTTTATGTACATTTATTACATTTTACTGAGTTATTTGTATTTCCATTCATTTTATTATTAATTTTGATATTTCATTTATGGAAAAATGTCATAACTGAGATTAATATAAAAAAAGATCATATAAATTTCATAAGATGATACTGATACTTGTAGGATACCCTTCTCAGTTGAAAATAAAAAAAAAATCAAATTAACTTCTCCACACGTGTTTCGCAAAAAGTAAAAGGCCTTAACAGCGGAGAACAATGCTTAACTGAAATAATGCAACTTAATTGTATTTTGATTTGGTCTTCCATTATAATTTTATAATTACAGCCTGACTATAAACACAAAATTACATTTCTTAATTACTGCAGATCTTCTGATTAGTCAAAACAATACAATTTACAATGTGGTAAAAAAAAGACCTTCTCATAGGGACATTTACAAAACTGGATGTGGCTTTTAACTAATTTTAACAACTTAAATGTAAAAATCTATTATAATTAAAGAACAAATAATTCTATTAAAATTCATTTTTCATTGAAAAAATTTTTTGCTTTCAGAAAATATTGTCCATATTCATAAAAACAACTAAAAAAGCAAATAAAAGCATTTGAAATTAAATATCTTTTTTTTTAGTTTTGTATGTTACAATTCAGGGCTGATTTTCAGGTAGGGTGGTCCAATTAAAAACAAAAAAAAACATGATTTACATTCCTCAAAGCCTTGTACTATTGTAATCATTAAACTAGACTTGATTGAATTTCTAGTGTTTTCATTAAATTAGTTGGTGTGGGTAATAAATATAAAAAAAATATTTCTGCCCTGACTTTAATAAAAAAAAACAAAAAAAAAACATATTTATAATGATTTCGATCATCTGTGAATAGTTTCTGAAAGGTTCATTAACATCTGACAATTATTTTTATTTTTGCTAGATTTTCCAATTTAATGTGTGTCATACAAAAAAAACATGCTAAAAATTTTACGTTATTTTACTAGTTCCGGTGATACAAAGAGAAACAAGGTTTTTTTTTTTTTAATCAAAATTTAGAATGTTCTAAAAAGAAGTAAAAATTTAAAAAAATAATTAAAATAAACTTTGATCTTTTCTCTTAATAATAACATAAGCATTTAGACGATAAAATTTTGTTTTCGTCAAGTTTGGCGTCTTTTTCATCATGCTATGTTCTTTTTTTAGCAATCTCATGGAGGTACCTATTTTAATGTATTTATATAAAGAGAATGAGAGAAAATATTCTGGCGATAAGGAAAATTGAATTTCTGCAAGGTTCCAATTTTTGCTTTTCCTCATTCATAACTTCTATCCTTTGCTTAAGACATCTTTTCATAAGTAATTGTTTCTGTAGCAGAACTTAATAAGTGTAGACTTTTAAAAAAGTTTCAATTCTTGGTGTTCAATCTGTTTGGAAAAGTGGGTATTGTAAGTGAAGAATTAATACCTATATTACTGACAGAATAGAATGTTTAAATTGGATTTTATTTTTAAAAAGTATTTAAGAATTCCTTTCATAAACAAGAAAGGTTGGTTAATTGTTTAAGTGGCAGGAGGTTCGGTGCAAAGTCGAAGGTTCACTTGTCGATGATCAGGGAAAAGTTTTTTATATATATATATATGAATTGATCTTGTGGCTCACTAAGAAAAGAATATGCAGCATCTCATGGATGCTTTTTCTAATTTATACACTGCATTATATATTATATTAGTCTGAAAAAAGATGGTAGTCAATTACCAACCAGCTCCAGTGAAGCCATATTGTGAACCAAAAGAACTTTTGTCTATATTTAGAGGTTGAAGATAACATTTAATGTATCTTGGGAACAATGTTGAGCATTTTCTGTGTTCTTGATGTGAAATCTCAAACTGCATACAAAAAACTAGACGTTTTTGGAAAACTGAATAAATGTCTGTGGTCTCGGCACAGAATTTCCAGTAATAAAAGCTAAAGGTCTATCAAGCATGTGTGTTACAACACTCCTTTACAAAATGGTCTCACACAGACAAATGACAAAAAAAGATTTGACCACTGCTTACCATCTGTGTCCTTGGCATTACCTGGCAAATGTTGAAACTGCTTTCCTGAAGATACCAGTCTCGATCCCCATGTACAAATTGTGGTAGTGTGTTTGTTGATGGCTGGTCTAAGGAGTCACTTGAGAGCACACCAGTGAATGGTGGCAATTAACTGTAAAACCATAGATGTCCAACAACTGAAATGTGATATTTGTGGTAAGACATGTGGGTCCAGAAGTGGTTTCATGCAATATTTTAAATTGCATGAGGATTTTTGGCCTAAAACTTTGGACCTCTTGAGAACCCTGTTTGTACCAAGTATGCAAGACCCTTTTTTGGGCTAAGATTTATGCACATTTATTCATCATTAGTAGATTTTCTCTAAAAAAGACTATATAACAACTGTATTTTTACACAATTGTCTTTCAATATATATATATATAGTTTTACTTATTGGAAAAGTCTCTATATCAGTGATATATATAACATTCAGTTGTATTTGATATATTTTTTTACCCTTATTTCACACTTTTGTGATCATCAGACAAACTGATTTTTTTTTTTTTTTTTTTTTTTTAAATTTGAATCAATTTATGTTAGTTTGTGTTTGATTATGTTTGGTGGGAGGGTCTCATCTATGTCTGTTTTGGGATGACACCAAATAAATACTTTCTTTTTTTATTTCACTCCTTTAAAAAGAACTTTACTACACACAGTCTCAATACTGAAATAGGATTACAATTGTGTGTATCTGTGCTCAAACAAATGGGTATATGTCTGCGCCTGATCTCATATTGTTTATATATGTGTGTGTGCTTCTGTGAACTATAATGCATAGACCTGTATGTCTGCATGCATGTATGTCTGCATGCATATGAGTGTCATCCCAAAACAGATAAGGAGAATTCCCCCTCCCCACAAACATAATCAAACATAGATTCAAATTTTGAAAAATAAAACAGTTTTATGAAATCCAGGGTTACAAACTCATATCCATATGAAGGTGTGTGTGTATGTCTGTATATATGTGTAAACTAGTGCTGAAAAGTTGTCTGATCAATCAAGATGGGTCACTCCTCCCCACTGAAAATACTGATGTTGAATCATTTGAACAGATTTTAGGGAGTGATTCTCAGTATTACCTCATTTTCTAAGCAGGTTAAGAAATTGGCATTTTTGTTAATGTTAGACAATATATGTTCATGTTACTTAGTATAATTTTGGTTTGTATTATTTGTAATATTGTTTGGTTTTACTCCTATTTTTAGTAGTGAATATGTTGATGAACTTGTGACAGCTGGATTGTTGATCCACTTGGTGAACCTATTGGTGACCTTTGCTGCTGGGGATCAAAACAATGGACAGGTAACTTTTTATTTTTGTAATATAGAACAAAACAAATTCAGATATTTTAACTTTTTATACATTAAAATTTGCACATATATTTTACCCAGTCTAGTTTTAAAATATTTTCTATTATTATGGACAATTATCTTTTTTTTCATTTTTAAATATTTTGATAATTTATATATATATATATATATATATATATATATATATATATATATAAAAGATATAAAAAAACCATTGTGGAACTTGCATTAAATGTTCAGTTTATTTATTTTTTATAATGGAACGTACTGATAATCAAAACTATTATCCATGGAGGTTCTGGTGACACAACATTGGCTTATCATAACTTCAGTGTAGTGCATAATATATATCAGAGATGTGCAGTTTTTTTTTTTTAAAAGACTTTTTTTTTTGTTTCATCTTCATAAATTAAAACTGCATTGAAGTTTTTTGAATATTCAAATGAATTTCCTTTGCTTTTCCTTTAGAAGAAGTTTATTTGCAAAACTCCAATTGCAGTTGGCTGGTGTACCAGAAAAGAATTGCTGTTGTTGTTGTGTGTTTGCTTTGCTTTATAATTTTTGAAAGAATTTGCTTCCTCAGATCAGAGAAGAAATGAACATCTTCCTGGTTGTAGTTTGTCTTGTAATTGAGTGTAGAATTTCAAGAATATTTATAAAGATTGGCCACTCTGATTTTGTGAAACAAATTAACTTGTAAAATTTAGTCTCGAAAAAATTTTTTTGTCTTTTGTGTTCAGTAACAAAATACCATTTAAATATCTCTGTAAAAATAACATTTTTCAATGAATAAAAATGGCACACAAATTACATATTTGAAAGATTTTTTTTTTTTCCAGCCATGAATATTTTTAAGATTGGACTATAAGTACATGAGATAATTGTTAGTTTTAAGGACTTAAATGTAAATTTGTTAATCTCAAACAAAATCAGATATCGAATGGAAAATGTTATCATTACACAAGAAAATGAATTTTGCAGTTGTTAGAATGCAAAAATCCTAAATTTAAAAAAAACCGAATTGAAAACCATCTTTTCAAGGAAAATAAAACTGAAACCAATTTAAAACATAAATTACCAAACTGACCAACTTCTGTGTGTATATATCGAGGGTAGTATATATATATATATATATATATAAATATTTTGACATTTTTATAATCGAGATGATGGTCTTTTTTTTTTTTTTTTTCTAACTTTAAAAAGTAGATAAAATTAGAAATGTATTATATTAGGTACCTCCACGAAATTTTTAAAAAAGATAAATATTTATCTTGATGAAAAAGAATATGTACCTTGCTGAAAACAAAATTTTTTCATCTAAATGCTTATGTTCTTATTAAGAGAAAGACTAAAGTTTTTAATTATTTTTAAAAAACAAACTTCTTTTCTAGAACATTCTAAATTTTGATTTAAAAACAAAAAACTTGTTTCTTTTTGTATCAGCGTTAACTAGTAAATATTTAATTTTTGGCACTTTTTTTATGACACATTAATTTGGAAAATCTTGCAATAATATAAATAATTTAGCATCGATTTTAATGAAACATTCAGGAACTATTCAAGATGATCGAAATTATTATAAATATGTTTTTTATTTTATTAAAGTCATGGCAGAAATATTTTTTTGATATTTATTAGATCCCCCCCCCACACACACACACTAATTTTATGAAAACACTAGAAATTCGATTGAGTCTAGTTTAATGATTACAATAGTTAAAAGTACAAGGCTTTGAGGAATGTAAATCATGTTTTTTTTTTTTGTTTTTTTTTTTTGTTTTTTTTTGTTTTTAATTGGACCACCCTACCTGAAAATCAGCCCTGAATTGTAACATACTCAATAAAACAAAGATATTTAATTTCAAATGCTTTTATTTGCTTTTAGTTGCTTTTAGTTGTTTTTATGAATATGGACAATATTTTCTGAAAGCAAAACATTTTTTCAATGAAAAATGAATTTTTAATAGAATTATTTGTTCTTTAATTATAATAGATTTTTACATTTAAGTTGTTAAAATTAGTTAAAAGCCACATCCAGTTTTGTAAATGTCCTTATGAGATAGATCTTTTTTTACCACATTTTAAATTGTATTGTTTTGACTAATCAGAAGATCTGCAGTAATTAAGAAATGTAATTTTGTGTTTATAATCAGGCTGTAATTATAAAGTACGGAAGACCAACCAAAATACAATTAAGTTGCATTATTTCAGTTAAGCATTGTCCTCCGCTGTTAAGGCCTTTACTTTTGCGAAACACGTGGAGAAGTTAATTTGATTTTTTTTATTTTCAACCGAGAAGGGTATCTACAAGTATCAGTATCATCTTATGAAATTTATATGATCTTCTTTTTATATTAATCTCAGTTATGACATTTTTCCATAAATGAAATATCAAAATTAATAATAAAATGAATGGAAATACAAATAACACAGTAAAATGTAATAAATGTACATAAAATTATAGTATTTTATGTACACTTCTGATAAAATTTCATAAGAAAGGTACTTATAAATTAATTAGATACCTTTCTTATGAAATTTAATGTCACTCTTAACAGTCTTATTGTAATTTCTTTATAATATATTTTCCATAAAGCATCATAAACGTAAAGGTGAAAGCTAAGTACAAAAGAAAAAAAGGGGGGGTGCTGAAAGTTTTCCTTAAAAGTAACGAGGTAAATAATTTGTTAATAAGTTAAGCTTGGTTCAAAATATTTTAAATAAACATTATAATTTCTGATTTTCTTAAAATAAGTTTTATAAAAATGATAATTTATATTTAAAAGAATTTTAAAGTGAGATTTCCAGTTTTTTTATAAAATGGAAAAAAATGGTCAATTTTGCTGACAAAAAAAAACAAGATTTTTAACAAAAATTTTGGACATGATAGGAACGATTAAAAAATGTAAAAAAAAAAAAAAAATACCCCAAAAATACTTTGATCTTTCCTCTTAATAACAACATAAATATTTAGACGATAAAATTTTGTTTTTGTCAAGTTTGGCATCTTTTTCTTCTTGCTATCCTCTTTTTTAGCGATCTCGTGGAGGTACAAAGAATTTAAAAGTATGAACTTAAAAATTACGGTTAGCACTAAATTAAAAAAGTTAACTTCTTTGATATAACATTAGATTTAAAGAAAAATACATACACACCTTATAATAAACCCAATACCAATCCTTTATATATCCACCCTAAATCAAATCCCCCCCCCCCAATCTATAATTAAGCATACACTTATACAATATCTCTTCTATTGAAAATCCTGAAAATATAAAAATTTGTATAGGTTGCACAGGCCATGAGTTCAAAAAACTGTTCAGCCAACATCAAAGTTCTTTTAAGATAAATAAATATAGAAATCAACCATCTCTCTCAAAGTACTTCTGGCACCAAAAAGAATCCAATAAAACACCTACAGTAAAATGGAAGTTAATAAGAAAAGCTAGAATATGTAGGTCACTAAATGACCCATGTCCTTTGTGCATACATGAGAAACTATATATTACTAAGTTTATGGAAATAAATCAGAAATGAAATAGCTGAATCGGAGAAATGAAATAGCTATTTTTTGCCATCATTGTCAAAAATTTTTCTTAAATAATATTTAAAAATAAAATTTTATAAAAAAAAAAAAAATGTGACCTGGTAATATACATACTTGATATGAAAAAGTAATTTTACATACTGTAAGTAATTCTAGTACATTTACTTGTTTTAAAAGAATTAAAAAGTGAAAATATTTTAAAATTGTAGTTAAATAAAACGTATTCTAAGCTAAACATCCAAAAAAAATCTTTAAGTATACAAATAGAAAAAATGCTATAAGAATTTTTTGCTGTTAACAATAAAATTTAATAAAAAAAAAAAACCCAGATGACATGCATTTAACGGATGTCAAAATTCATTGAAAAATACATCCCTACCCTACCTAAACATAACCCCTTTTTCGAACATAACTAATAACTGATACAACAAAAGTTAATAAAAATGAACATGCTACCACCCCTTATCTGATTGATTGGATCTCTCTGTATCCTTGGAAACAGTGAATTAAGAATTTTTCTGTGCTTTTAAAACTTGGTAAATTTAAAAAAAAAAATAAGTTACTCCAAAATTTGCTTGAGGATGAAATGGAACTAATGTTTTTAATTTAATTACAAAATTACCTGGTTATTACTGTGTAGTGAAACAAACATATTTTAAATCAGTTAATTTATAATATTAATGCTCTGTAAATTTACATTGAGCACTGTTTTGTAAAAATAAAAATATCAATAAGAACACCGGGTTATATATCTTACTGTTCTTATGTGTGTGTGTGTGTGTGTGTGTGTGTGTGTGTGTACCCCCCAACACACACACACAACGGGAAAATGGTTCTTGAGATTACCCATTTGAGTGGTTAGAAAAGAGATTTTTTTTTTTTTTTTTTTTTTTTGCACAATCTTCAGACTCCAAAATCAGTTGAAGATGAAAACTTTATTTCATCTTATTTAATCTTTCTTGTTTGGATAGAATAAATCCTTTGTATGGGCTTGAAATAAATTAGCAATTTCCTCTTATGAATAAACCTTTTTTTTTTTTTTTTTTTCAGTCTTTAAGAGAATTTAGTTATTGAATATGGAAGAAGGGGGTTTGTGTTTCCTCTCTCTTTTTGCTTTTTCATGTGCCTTTTATAAAAATTGTATCCTTAATCTGGAATATTCATTATTTTTATTGATTTTGTTTCTGCTCCTTCTTTCCTCCTAATTGTTCTTTTTTTCCTAGGCTATCACTCCTTTACTCCGAGCTGTGGGGAACATGTGTGCTGGTGAAGATGCTTACAGCCTTCAGGCTATCAACAATCCAAACTTGCTTCCCACACTCAATGCCTTTCTTCACTCCAAACATAGGCACATCATCAAGGAGACCTTGTGGGTACTTTCCAACATGGCAGGTAAGATGAAGCTTTATCACTCTGGCTCACAAAGCAAATATTGGATGGTCAAAAGAAAAAAAAAAGTTTCTTTTATTTTGACATTGATTGCTAAATATGATAGATGAGTGAAAACTAAACAGCTACACAGTAACAATTTTTTTTCTTGTCACCAAAAAATTGGTAATTATTGTGATTGAATATTACACTGTGACACTGGTAAATGGAAAGAAAGGGTTAAAATTAAAATATAACTTGGAACAAGACAAAAGGAGTTAAAGAATCAAACGGTAGATAAACTAAGAGAACAAGCAAAATTGCTTTTTATTTTTGAAAATCCATTGTTTAAGCAGAGACAGCTTCAAGAAATTTGTCTTGTTTTGGGGAAAGATATTGCTGAGAAGGCCATCTGGAGAATGTAAACCCACAGGGGTTGGGGAGGGATAGTGAGAATACATTCAGAGACGGTTGATAATTTGAAAACTAAGAAGAATTGGAGAAACTAATTAATGGCCACTTACTAAAAGTGTGAGTTATGAAAGCTTCTCTGGAAAGGCAATCAAATAAAAAAAAAAAAAAAATATTTGGGAATTGATTTATTTTATCTGCTGTGGAAAGCAGAAAATTGTAAACAGCTCAAGAAATAGAATTTCTTAAGATAAGTCTTGGTTCATAAGTGTGATTGAGTTAACAAGATGTGGAGAAAGCTGCCGAAGGAAATGGCTGGTATATTTTTCTCCTCCTACTGTTAATACTACTATTATTTTATTTTATTTTTTTCACTATTCTTTTATACATCTTTTAATATTGGTTCACATGTTTTCTATTAGTATATTTGTTTTTTGTTGGGGGTGGGGTTAGTCTTTTCAAATTTAGATGGTTTATAACAATGCTTTTGTATTTGATCCAAAGTTAGCGATTGGGGTTTTTTAAGCAGAATTTTGTATTTTTGATTTAAGTCACATTATTTTAAATATTTTCACTTGAACTATTGATTAAATATATCTTATTTAAATCTGTCTTTTCAGCTGTTGTTGATGTTGCCAGTCAAATTTTGGTATCTGAGCTGCTTCCTTCCATCACTGCCCTTTTAGTGTCCACATTTGACATCCGCCTTGAAGTAAGTATTTCTTCATTGGACCAGGGGTGTGTTGATAACAGTAAAATAGAATAAACTATTAGGCGTTTTACTAATGATTATAATGACCTTTTTTTTTTTTCTTTAATTATTGCAATGCATGTCATTGATTGTTCCGTTTTTCCCTTACCCACCCAGGTTGTGTATCTGCTGTGTAACTTGGGCAGCCATTCCACGTATCACTGTACAAAGTTGGTGCCTCTGTGTATCCTGCCCCAGTTGGTGTCACTGCTGAAATCTTCAGATCTTGAGTCACTCAACCTTGGATTGTACTTCTGTGAAATGATGTGTCGCCTTACTCCAGAGGTGAGTACATGAAAAACGAGGGGTCAGTTGACAGTCTGATTTTGTTAATGCAATTATTTCTTTGGGATTTTCTCTCTCATACATTTAAGTGAACAATTTCAGATTAGATGATGTCCTATAGTCAAATCCATAAGAGAGAACAATTTGATATTAACTAAACTTGAGCCTCTTTTTTGTAACCGTTTTTAAAATTAATATATATTAATAAATTCAGTACATTTCTCTTACCTCTGAAATACTCTTGTGTTGGAACATTTCTTTATTTATTCACTATTAATGTTTATTCCTTAATATTGAGCACCACACTTACAAAATTTGCTCATCTTTAATGCATGATCCTCTGGTAATTTATTGGTTGACAGATTGTGTTTGGCATAAACAATCTTTCTTGTATTACTAACATGTGCCAAAATCTAATAGCTATTTGAAAATGCAATTTACTTATTTTTTTCATTACTGGATGTGTCATACACTTTGAATATAAACTATGCAATACCTTGTTGCTAACAATGTCTCATTTTCCTTGGATTCAAACAACAATTTTGAAATTCAACCAAAAATCTGTCTACACAATTTTCTCTCTCTTTCACTAGAGCGCTCAGCAATTTGAAGAATGTGGTGGCATTGGTTACCTTGAGGGTTTAGAATATCACTCCAATGAGGCTATTCGGACACAGGCTAATGAAATGCTAGAAACCTATTTCCTACTTGGGGATGATCAAGGCGTAAGTAGTTTTCTAATTTTCTTGAAATTTCTTAATAACATTGAAGCACCATGAGATTCCTATGTGTTTACCCAAGGTCCTTTCCTCTTTTTTACTAAATCTGAAGATCATACTAAAATTTGAATCTGGGGGAAAAATCCTAAACAAAATGTCTACTTTCAAAATTGTATTTAATTGGTTAAAAGTAAGCTGTTAAGTATTTTGCTTTGTTTTTTTTTTTTTTTTTTTTTTTTTTTTTTTTTCTTTTAAATATTCCTTTTGGATATAAATTATCATTTTTGAGAGAATTGAATAACATGAGCATATTTTCCCAAGTTCATGACATTATCTTTATTTTTTCCAGGGAAAATATTTATCTATTTTTAATTTAAATTTGTCTTTAATGTTGACTCCAAAACTTATATATATATATATATATATATATATATATATATATCATATATCAAGAAAATTCCAAAACCACAAATATCAATAAAACATTTTAATCATATAAGTTGATAATAGTTTCATTATATATTAGGCGAAGGAAAACAGGATCAAGAAAACCTACAGAAATAAGTGTACTGTCATATGTATATGCTGTGTGTGTATATATGTGTATACGTATAACAGTACACTTATTTCTGTAGGTCTTGTTTTTTATGATATTTGTGGTTTTGGAATTTTCGTTTTAATATATTAAATAATATTATTTTTTACCATTTTATCTTTGTATATTTGCTCGCTTAAGTTATATTTTAATAAGTGGCTAGCATTTGTTTAATGATGCGTTCAGTCTTAAATATTTATTGGTTGTGGTATCTGATTGTCAAGGTCAATATTTCTGGATGTGTGTACATGTATTTATCGGTGTGTATGGAGAGTGTATTCACTTTTAATTGTGTGTAGGTGTTTGTTTCCCCGTTTTTTCATAAAGGGCTGTGGAGATGTTCCTGTCTCATCGCTTTTTGTGTGTGTGTGTGTGTGTGTGTGTGTGTGTATATATATATATATATATATATATATATATATATCTAAATATGTCTGGGTGCTTATGTATTATAATCTGTTTGTGTTGTTTTGCGCGTGAGTTTAAGACCCCATTCACACACTTGGGATTAAAATATATATACATGTATCGTCAAATGACTGGATATTGTAGCGTCTGAAGAAATAAATTGAATAACATGTATTTTTTCTTTTCTCCTCAGTAATTTTATAGGTTTTAAACTTAATAGTGATTAAATTTGGATTTTAAAATTGGCAGTTTTTAATTTTAATATCGAATTTTATCATATAATTTAATAATTATTAGTTAGAATAAATTCTTTTTAATATTACCCGTATTTTAAAGATCTGAATAGCTATTATAATATGATTTTGTTGTCAAGCTTTTGAATCTTCCTATACTTGGGTTTTGATTGGTCATTCTAGCTTTTGTAACAAGCGAATGATCGTTAATTAATTTGAAACTTAAAATTTTATATTCAACATCATTACTTGATAAGACACCGAGGGTGTTGAAACAAAATGGCTATTTTTGTAGTGATTTTATAACATATTTATGTTATAAATTTTTTTTTTTATAAAAAATAATATATATATATATATATAAGAAAAATATATACGGAAAAAAATACAAACAAAAATCCTTATATGCAATTATGCTGTTTTAATGTTAATATGTCAACATCGGACGTTTCGGTCTAATAAACCATCTTCAGGACATATTCATAAAATATAATTAACATTATCAATTCAACATGACAAAGACGATGGACATAAGAACAAGACTTATCCAAACAGTTAAATGAAAGTTTTATAAGATCAGCGCTCCGTTTAAACGTGGGCGACGCTGTGAAAATGTATTTGTCATGTTGAATTGATAATGTTAATTATATTTATGAATATGTCTGAAGATGGTTTATTAGACCCAAACGTCCGCTTAACGCTGAAAACATTAAAACAGCATAATTGCTTCATATTTTTCATACTGTCGAATCTATATCCATATATTTGCTTACATATATATATATATATATATATATATATATATATATCGAGAGAGAGAAAGTGGGTTGGAAAGTTCATAAGCAGACTGAGGTGTGATGCTAGAGCTGAAGCCTTGCTGCATGCATTAATTTTAACTCTTATTAATTGCATTGTTTCTTTCCAGGTAAACTGACATCTGACTTTTCAGAGAATTCAAAAGTAACTAGTAGTGATTTCTATTTCAAAATGGACAAAATTTGGCATTGTGGTGTTATCAAGTACATACAGAAAGAGTTTAACCCCACAAAGTACATTCATGCTGACATGATTGCTACATTAGCAGATGTTGATCAACAGTGCAAAAGTGGACAGCTAAAATTAGGTGGGAAAGGGTGTCCTGAAGCTGACCCAAAGTCAGGGATATGTTGTAACTGCCACCACCGTGGAAAAACGTTGATCGTGTTCACCACATGGTGATGGATGACAGGCGATTGACTATAAATCAAATAGCCAATGCTATTAGCATGTCCTGTGAGCGAGTTGAGAATATTCTGCACACTGAACTCAGTGGGTGCCACGTCTTCCAACACCTGAGCCAGAATCAATTGGTCAATCCTAGCTTCCTAGCTGCTGCCAAAACCTGGTCAGTGATGGAAGGATCAAATTCTTTCAGCTCTGAACCCTAACCATGCGTGGTTTGGGTGCTGGCAGAGGAACTGCTGATGATGGAATTTTCTCAAGAATTGGCATCTCTAATGTATCAAAAATAAATTTCAAACTTCTTCATTCATTTTCAGAAACTCTCTTATAAACTGGAACTGAAGTTTTATTTTTATGGGTTACTTTTTTTTTTCATCATATTTTTATCAAGCAAATATTCAAAGAATTCTTTGCTAGATATTTATTATTACCAGTTGAACAATTTGATTTAATGATTATCACTGAGCATTTAATCTGGATTTTATTGTATTCTGTCTTTGTAGGATGTGGAAGCCTAAATGAAGAACCCTCCAAAAGCAACATGAAAAGAAATAACCCTCCTCCCTTTCTTTTAAAAAAAATACAAACAAAAAAATCTCTCTCTGAATGAGTCCCTTTATAAACATCTGTCCTGGGCAATGGCTGACTGACTGCAACCTGGGATAATCTCTTGCTAAATGCTCAGTTGATGGAATGGTGCTTGGGACTTCCTATATTTTTTCACTTCCTTTCCGCCTCATGCTGGCAGCAGCATTGATTCCAGCCAATCTTTGTTGGCACTGAAACATAAATAGTGTCTCTTCTCTCATTATTTTCATCAGAACTGGCAGAATAACTTTTACTAATTATTAAGTGTGGGTGTGGGGGGTTCTATCTGAGTTGCCTGGACTCTAATCTTTCCAGGTCAACAAGATATGAGCTTATAAAAGACAATTTATGTAAGAGTAAAAATGGGATTTATACTCCTTTTTATATATATATATATATATATATATATGAGTTTGTACTTAAGTAAATTCTCAAGTTGTGAGAAAGATTTCAAGAATGCATAGCCAGTTTGATTAGTCCCTGCCTTTTGGTGAAGATAGTGAATTCAATAGACACATGCCTTGATTCTTGTGTATTATTATTTTTATCTTTTCTTTCAATCTCTTAAATGTTGTTTTGTTATAGAAACAACTTTTTTTCTTTTTTTTTTTTTATCTCTCTTCTCCTTCCTCTTGAGCTGCCTCTTCCTAAATGGAGATGATGATGTCGTTTGCTATGATTGCTGTTCTAGTCTTGTCATGGCCTGAAGAAGCTGAGGGACAGCAAATAGTAGTTTGCTTCAGATTTGGTCAAAAGAATTTGTCATAAAGGTATATAAATCTGGTAGAAATGTCAGGTTGGACCTTTTGAGATAAATTAACAAATTTTAAATTGAATTTATTGCTTGAAATTGAAATCAAGGTAAATGCAAGTAAAAAATAATTATGTAGACTTCTTTTGGTTGGAGGCGGGGGTTAAAATTCTGTAATTTTAAATCCTGACAATTTGAAGAAAGATGTAAATATCAGTTTTTTTTTTTTTTTTTTCACTTTTAATTTGACCATTGAAGTGCACTTGCGTGTGCATGCATGGCAAATATTTAGGCTATGAATATCAAATCTAATTCCATCAATTCTATTATAGCAATCATGGTTATGTCCATTATCTACCTTCCAATAACCAAAAATGAAAAATTTCTAATATGAAAAGCATTGAATAATTGGCTCAGACTTTCTCAACAATCTGTTTGGGATGTCATTTTACAACTCCATTTTACATAAAAAAAATCCCAACAAACCTAAAACAACTTACTTGGTCACTACTCCCTGAAAGTATTAAATGTCATTGGGGCATCTTGTATTCTTGCACTGATCTTGATGAAAATGCTTAGTATTCACAAGAATTGAGTAATTTTTTTTTTTATTTCTGCCTTCTTTTTAAAAACAGCTTATTTCCTACTGCAACTCTACTGCAAAACTGCCTTGTTTATGATGCACCTCACTATGACTTCATTTTCTAATTTTAGAAAAGCAATTGCACTTTTGTTTTTTTTTGTTTTTTTTTTTTTTGTTTTTTTTATTGACCTTTTATTTTATCTTTTTGTTTTCCACTTGTTGCTTTTTGAGTTTTTAGGGCATTTTAAATGACCAAACAAATTTGAGCAAAGTGATCAGTCTTGGTTGTATCTAGGCTAGTTGATTTCTTCTTTCTTTCTTTTTTTTTTTTCTTTTTCCCTCACCTATGCCCAGTGTGGTTGGTATACTTTTTAATATTTGAAATAAGTGTCCAATTGAAAGCTATTGGTTCACTTGCAACAGCATTTGGGGCAAAATTACTGCTCCTGTCAAAATAGTGGTATTAATATAAAAATTTGTGTAGGTGATTTTTTTCTTTTTTAAATAATGGTGTCTACTGGGCAACTTTGTTGCCTTCTCTCTCTCATACACACACACACACTATATATATATATATATATATATATATATATATATATATATATATATATATAATTTAGCCCTATCAATGAGCATTTTGGCATAAGATCCCATGTTTTCCTTTCTTTCTGCTCCTCCCTAAGGAATCTTCTTTGGCTCTACTTCTTGTGTTAGATTTAATTTCCAGCTTGTGGGTAGGTGTCTTCTATGTCCTCAAAGCAATCTTTTCAAAACTTTATGCTTACATTTGTGTACTTATAAAATTTGGTATACCTAAGTGTATTATTTGAATTAAGTATGTTTAACTCTAGAAAAAAGATTTTTTGGTTGAATTTCAAAATTGTTCTTTGAATCTGTGTTACCCTAAACCCTTGAAGGAAAAACCCAATTTTAAATCAAGAATAGGGACTCATTTACCCTTGGTCATCAGCATTACCATTCTCTGCAATAAACACATTATATCTAATCCAGGATTCAAATAATAATCTTGTTTGAATTATACTTGTAAAATCTGCAATATCCAAATGCTGTATATATACAATTAGTTTGTGACAAGTTTGAGAAAGATTTTGTTGCCTTGTCTTAGGTTTTTTTTTTTTTTTTTTTTTTTGTTTTTTTTTTATATCCATTATAACTGTAGACATATACTTTTAAAATTCTAAAATATGGTTGGGTTTGGATCTCTTTTTTTTTTTTTTTTTTTTTTTTTTTAACGGGACAAAGGAAATTCTTTTTTTGTCATTGTCAATTGCTGTTATTTTAATTACAGTGATTCAACTGATAAAACATTGGGCTATTTTGGTCTCTTAAATTACACCCCTCACCTCTCACTCCTGGTGACTACCAAAATCTCAAATTAAGTATATGGGAGGGAGGTTATCTGAAAATAAAAATACTCTTTAAAAGATCTTAACTTTTCTCAATTCAGTGAATGTACTTGTTGGAAAGAATGTCTTTGAAAATGAAATTGCCGAATGTTCACATCTCAGCTGCACATTCCTCCAGTTCTCACTTGTTAGTGAAAACTTGCTTAGGATGAGAGATTTGATATTTCAAACAGAAACAGTCTGGCTTGTAAACTCCAACTTTCCTCTAATTGGAACAAACTTTTCTTTGTATTTTGTTGCATGTCTGATGGAAAGATGTGAATCCACTTTTTGTTTTTTCTTTTTTAAATATTTTTTTCTTCCATTGTTGCCCAATTCTTTCTCCTCGACCTGCACAGCTACTTGCATGTTTGGCTTTGAACTTCCATGTATCCTTTTTAGCTTTTCCCCCCCGATTCCAGACAAAGTAAGTTTCTTATCCCATCTAGTTTCCTGGCGGCTACAAATGAAAGGACAAGGGTGAATATTAACTATATTGGATAAAATTTCTGAATATTTCTATTCTTGCAAAAGATCCTGACTAGAAACAAAGATGGTGGTTGAAAATGCAATCCAGTCACTTCTCATTAAACTTTTTCTTTTTAGAGTGGTTACTGCAGTTGTAAAGCCCTAAAGCTTTCTATTTCAACCACTGCATTAATTTAGAAGGAAAATTTCAGTAAAGTTAAATATAACCAGGAAAAGTCCCAAATTCTTACCCCCCCCCCCCCCCATCTATTTTTCTCCCCACTTTACCAACCTCATTTTTCTTTTCTTATTTTCATTGACATAAAAACCAAAACACATTTGTTAGTTTCTTTTCTTAGTCTGACTCTATCCAGAACAGACACTGTAATGGAAGCAATATTCCTCTCCCTTCACCCTTGGTTCCCTCTGACAGCACTTGTATATTTTGGCTCAAGTTTGGGTGAAATCTTCTCTCAAAGTTATTTTTTCTAAATGTTTTTCTCTTGTGTACAAATTTTTGCCTAAACTCTCACATACATAGATACATATACATATTTTATATAAATATATATGTATATGTATAAAATAAGTTGCTGTTAATATTAGGAACCCAGCAGCAGAAGGAAATAAAATAAATTAATCTTCCCACCAAAAACAAACCAACAATCAACCGACCAAACTGTCTGGAATGTCATCTTCACCAACAAGCCTGAGGCAAATAAGCTATTCCACTCGACCCAAAGCTCTTCCATTTATAAAGTTATACATTTATATATTATATTTTATGATAAAGATTTAATTTTCAAAAAATAAATAAAACTAAATAAACAAAAAAAAATTATCAAATTATAGAAAAATTTATGAACCAAACGTTGGACGTTTTCACTGTATTTGTGGATGTAGCTTCAAGCAGCTTGGGAAGATGGTTTTTGTCTGCTAAGTGACTTTCCAGCCAGCACATAACTGTATATAAAGGGAAGATTAAAAAACAAAAAAAATAAATAAAAACAACTCTTAGAATTCTATTGTGCTGTTAAATTTTTTTTAAAGATTTTTCTTCATGGAAAAAAAACACACCCAAATCTGTTGTGGATGGATCTAAAGTATTTTCTTTTTATTTTGATAATAGCTTTTCATCTTTGGCCAACATGAAATGAATTTTCAAAACTGGCAAAGGAAGGCTCTTTTTTTTTTTTTTTTTTTTTAAATCGCCTTATTGTGCTGCCCTTTTGTGGTGATTACTGGATGTGCTGTCTGCCGCTGCTCGGTGTTAGTGCTGAGTTCTCCCTCCTGACCCCCTTTGAAGATGGTGGGATGTGGGGGGCTCATTGTATGTGGCCTCCCTCTCTCGATAACTTCATTTTATTTTTCTTCATCCTTGTTTTTTTTTTTTCTTCGTTATTGCTGTTGTTGACCGTTTCAAGATGGAGACTGTTTTGTAAAATAAAATGTTTGAAGCAGTTAGAAAAGGCTGTTGTTCTTTCATAATCTTCCAATGTTTGTGCTGATATGGTGTAAGCAACTGCTGTATCTGCAACCGACTTTGGTAAGATCAGTTTTTTTTTTTTTTTTTTGTTTGTTTGTTTGTTCTTCAATTATTATAAAAAACAGAGTTGGTAACCTCCTCCTGTTGTTTACTTGAGGGAAACAATCATTAGATTGCATTTATAGTTTACCTTTTAAATTTAAAGACTCTTGTTCAATACAGTTAAACAAATTGGA